GGGTCAGGGCTGGCGTGGCACAAGGGGTGTGTGTGTGTGACACGGGGACAGGGCTGGCCCATGGCACAAGGGGGATGTGTGTGTGGCACAAGGCGGGTGTGTGTGTGTGACACGGGCACAGGGCTGGCCTGGCACAGGGGTGTGTGTGTGTGACATGGGGACAGGGCTGGCCTGGCACAAGGGGTGTGTGTGACACAGGGATGGGGCTCCCAGGGGTGTGTGTGACACGGGGACGGGGCTGGCCTGGCACAGGGGGGGGGTGTGTATGTGACACGGGGACAGGGCTGGCCTGGCACAGGGGGGGTGTGTGTGTGTGACACGGGGACAGGGCTGGCCTGGCACAGGGATGTGTGTGTGTGACACGGGGACAGGGCTGGCCTGGCACAGGGATGTGTGTGTGTGACACGGGGACAGGGCTGGCCTGGCACAAGGGGGGGTGTGTGTGTGACACGGGGACAGGGCTGGCCTGGCACAAGGGGTCTGTGTGTGTGTGACACGGGGACAGGGCTGGCCTGGCACAAGGGGTGTGTGTGTGTGACACGGGGACAGGGCTGGCCTGGCACAAGGGGTGTGTGTGTGTGACACGGGGACAGGGCTGGCCTGGCACAAGGGGTGTGTGTGTGTGACACGGGGACAGGGCTGGCCTGGCACAAGGGGTGTGTGTGTGTGACACGGGGACAGGGCTGGCCCATGGCACAAGGGGGATGTGTGTGTGGCACAAGGCGGGTGTGTGTGTGTGACACGGGCACAGGGCTGGCCTGGCACAGGGATGTGTGTGTGTGACATGGGGACAGGGCTGGCCTGGCACAAAGCGGGGAGTGTGACACGGGGACAGGGCTCACAGGATGTGTGTGTGTGACACAGGGACGGGGCTCCCAGGGGTGTGTGTGACATGGGAAAAGGGCTGGCCTGGCACTGGATGTGTGTGACATGGGGAAAGGGCTGGCCTGGCACAAGGGGTGTGTGTGTGTGACATGGGGACAGACTGGTATGACACAGGTATGGGAGCACGGAGGAACACTTGTGCTGATGTGCCGTGCTCTCCCAAAGACCACTCTTTTGTCCCGTGTGGCCAGTGACCAGGCAAAGACAGGAGGTCCCTGCTCCATCACCAGCTGTCACTGTGACACTGTCCCATGGTCACACAATCCCACATTGATGTGTTGAACCCCGATGCGAAGGCAGCGTTGGAAACTGCTCTGTGACCCACGTTGCAGTTAAATAACAGGTTTTGGCTCAGTTTTAACCTCAGGGAGGGTATAATGCCATTTATTTATTATTGGTTTTCCTTCCAGGCTAATTCAGGAAGCTGTAGCCATAAATGAGTCAGTGAAATAGACTTGCAAGTGCAAGGAGAGGAAAGAAATCTACTTTTAAATATATATTGTGTCAATTTCAGCGCTAGTCCCTGGCTGACTGCAGAAAGTTTGTTGTTGCTTTTGGACTTTGAAGTGTTTGTGTTTTGAAGAGAGGCAGAGAGGAAACTGATGAATTTCAGCAAAGGCAAGTGTAGGACGCTGCACCTGGGGAAAAATAATCCCATGCACCAGTACAGGTTGGTGGCTGACCTGCTGGAGAGCACCTTCAAGGAGAAAGAGCTAGGAGTCCTGGTGGATAATGGGATGACCATGAGCCAACAATGTGCCCTTGTGGCCAAGAAGGCCAGTGGCATCTTGGGGTGCATCAGGAAGAGTGTGACCAGCAGGTTGAGAGAGGTCATCCTCCCCCTTCTGCTCTGGTGAGGCCCCATCTGGAGAACTGTGTCCAGTTCTGGGCTCTCCAGTTCAAGAAGGACAGGGAACTGCTGGAGAGGGTTCAGCAGAGGGCTACAGAGATGATGAGAGACCTGGAGCATCCCCCGTATGAGGAAAGGCTGAGGGACTTGTGTCTTTTTAGTCTGGAGAAGGGAAGGCTGAGAGGGGATCTGATCAACGCTTATACATACTTAAAGGGAGGGTGTGAAGAGGATGGGGCCAGTCTTTTTTCACTGGTGCCCAGGGATAAGACAAGAGGAAATGGGCACAAACTTGAATATAAGAGGTTCCACCTAAACATGAAGAGGAACTTCTTCCCTTTGAGGGTGGCAGAGCCCTGGAAGGGGCTGCCCAGAGAGGTGGTGGAGTCTCCTTCTCTGAAGACATTCCAAACCCACCTGGACACGTTCCTGTGGGACCTGCTCTGGGTGGACCTGCTTTGGCAGGGGGTTGGACTAGATGATCTCCAGAGGTCCCTTCCAACCCCATGTGATTCTGTGAAGCTTTTAATAAAAGCTCCCCGTAGTTCGCAGTTACACTTAACCTCAGCATCTGGTGCTGGAGTGGACTTCACTGGGGAAATATTGTTTTTTCGCTGAATAGCTTGATGTCTTTGTATCTATCAAAAAAAAAAAAGCAGAGGGTTTGGAAACCTAAAATCGTGCATTCCTCCTTCTGCCCTCACTCAGCAATAGGCGCTGTGAAACCTCTGCTTGTTGGTGTGGGCAATATTCCCTGACATTTGCAGCTGGGGAGACTGGGAACACTGGGGAAACAAGGGGTTGGCTGTTTGGAAGCACGCGTGTGGGGTGGTGGCCTCAAGTTTTGCCCTTTATGCTTCATCCTGCTAAATCCTCAATTTTTAGTAGCTGTGTAGTGCATTGTCTGGGAAGTTTGGACTAAACTATAAGGTGTGGGGTTTTTTTGCCTTTTTTCTTCATTGTGTAGCAATAGCAATAAGTTTCATATTTCATCCAGCATTAAGCCTTTTTTCCAGGTCGGTGTTTCCCTTTGCAATGGGGCTGTGAGTACAGGATGCCCCATCCTTCCTTGTTAATCTCTTTATTGCCTTGGTCCAGGAGCCAATGCAGATGGTTCAGGTCTTTAAATCACTGATGACTCAGGCCAGCTGCTGTCTGGCCTCTCGATCCCTTCCTGCTCTGCTGTCTTCTCCAGCTGTGATGTCCTTTTCCATCTCATCTCATCTCCAGGTTGGTTTCTGGGCTATTTCCAGGGAGCTAATGATGCGCTGATTCCCTCTCCCCAACCTTTTGCCCAGCAATGAATAACTCCTGTTGCTCTTTCCAAAGCCTCCCGCCGTGCTGGTTTGCTTGTGTATATTAATGCAATTAAAAATTAGCACAACCACCACTGATGAGGCTTTGAGGGATATCAGAGAAGGATGAGCAGCGCAACCACGCGTCCTGGTGCAGTCCTGGCTCCTTGGTCAGATCTCCATCTTCTTTACCTCCTTCTGTAGTGTCTGAAAAGAAACTGAGCTTTTGGATATCGTAGAATAGTTTGGGTTGGAAGGGACCTTAAAGATCCTTCAATTCCAACCCCCCTGCCCTGGGCAGGGACACCTCCCACCAGACCAGGTTGTTCCAAGCCCCATCCAGCCTGGCCTTGAACACCTCCAGGGATGGGGCAGCCACAGCTTCTCCGGGCAACCTGTTTCAGCGTCTCACCGCACTCACAGCAAATAATTCCTTCCTCATATCTAATCTAAATCTCTCCTCTTTCAGTTTAAAACCATTTCTCCTCATCCTATCACTCCACTCCCTGATCAGGAGTCCCTCCCCAGCTTTCCTGCCCCTCCTTTGGGTACTGAAAGGCTGTTATAAGGTCTCCTCGGAGCTTTCTCTTCTCCAGGCAGAGCAACCCAAACTCTCTCAGCTTGTCTTTGTAGCAGAGGGCCTCCAGCCCTCTAATCATCTTTGTGGCCTCCTCTGGACCCGCTCCAACGGGTCCATGTCCTTCTTATATTGGGTGCCCCAGAGCTAGAGGCAGTACTCCAGGTGGGATGTCACCACAGTGGAGTAGAGGGTCAGAATCCCCTCCCTCACCTTGCTGGCCATGCTTTTGGGGATGCAGCCCAAGATGTGGTTGACTTTCTCTGCTGCCAGCGCTCATTGTCAGCTTGTGTTGAGCTTCTCATCCACCAACGCCCCCAAGTCTTTCTCCTCAGGGAGTCCATTCTCTGGGGGTCCACCTCTCAAGCCTTCCCAGTGCCCTCTGGATGACATCCCAGTGGGACCTGCTCTGGGTGGACCTGCTTTGGCAGGGGGTTGGACTAGATGATCTCCAGAGGTCCCTTCCAACCCCATGTGATTCTGTGAAGCTTTTAATAAAAGCTCCCCGTAGTTCGCAGTTACACTTAACCTCAGCATCTGGTGCTGGAGTGGACTTCACTGGGGAAATATTGTTTTTTCGCTGAATAGCTTGATGTCTTTGTATCTATCAAAAAAAAAAAAGCAGAGGGTTTGGAAACCTAAAATCGTGCATTCCTCCTTCTGCCCTCACTCAGCAATAGGCGCTGTGAAACCTCTGCTTGTTGGTGTGGGCAATATTCCCTGACATTTGCAGCTGGGGAGACTGGGAACACTGGGGAAACAAGGGGTTGGCTGTTTGGAAGCACGCGTGTGGGGTGGTGGCCTCAAGTTTTGCCCTTTATGCTTCATCCTGCTAAATCCTCAATTTTTAGTAGCTGTGTAGTGCATTGTCTGGGAAGTTTGGACTAAACTATAAGGTGTGGGGTTTTTTTGCCTTTTTTCTTCATTGTGTAGCAATAGCAATAAGTTTCATATTTCATCCAGCATTAAGCCTTTTTTCCAGGTCGGTGTTTCCCTTTGCAATGGGGCTGTGAGTACAGGATGCCCCATCCTTCCTTGTTAATCTCTTTATTGCCTTGGTCCAGGAGCCAATGCAGATGGTTCAGGTCTTTAAATCACTGATGACTCAGGCCAGCTGCTGTCTGGCCTCTCGATCCCTTCCTGCTCTGCTGTCTTCTCCAGCTGTGATGTCCTTTTCCATCTCATCTCATCTCCAGGTTGGTTTCTGGGC